TTTGTGCAAAAATGACTCAGGAGCACACTTATGTCATGGGTTTTATCACAATGGGACATATTGGAAGTGCTACAACCATGTAGATGGCAGGATAAATCAAATAATAATAATGGTATGGAAATAAAAATAATATTGGCACCAATAAAAAAATACTACTACTATGCACAAAACAACAATTGAAATTAAATTACTTGAGGCAATGGGAACGCTAATTTAACATCCTGAATGCTCTGCTTAACAGTCTGAATGCTAGCAGAGGAGGTGTCCTCTTCTTCCTGCTCTTTTTTAGGAAACAGGACCAAGAATATTATTGTTTTTTATGCTAGTAGTAGTAGCACATAAGTACCAAAAGAAGAATGTAGATAAAGTGGATCTACATACCGTAGGCCTACAGTGATAAAAACATTCAATATGTTATTTAACATTCTGTACATTGAAACTAATATTCAGAATGTTAAATTAATGTTCCCTATGCCTCAATTAATGTGATTTCAATTGTTGCTTTACATGTAATAATTACAATTATATTACTTTGTAATACTGTACTGAAGTACTGTAGAGGAGAAAATCTGTAGAATAATTTAGAATACAAAAGTCTTTGTAACATACCATGTGTCTACTATGATAATTATAAGTCCAGCAAGTCCGGCAATGTATGGACTGAGAAAAACAAACGTGCGCAGAGCACAGTTAATGTAAATGAATGGCTGAGAACAGTTTTAGTGAGAAAGCCACAGCTGCAACAAGAGGTGCGCTTTAGCCCCTAGCAGCTGAAGCCTCACCAAGATCACTATTGTTAGCCCAGCAAGCAAACATAGCAGTAGAATATAGAGAGCAACTGAAGAGGGCTAGGACCAGCCATTATGCATGCTCTGTCCCCGACTAGCCTCAGCCATGGGGAGCACCGCTGATCCCTAACCAACTCAGTACACGGACCTGTTCCAAGACCCTGCCACTAATTCCTTTCGTAGGGACAGGGCCCTCGGACAGACAGCTTATCAAGGTATCTACCAAAAGTTCTCAAGTGTGCCAGTCAGAACGCCAACTCTTGGTGCAGATTGACTACTTGACCACGTCCTGAACCTCTTCAAGGCCCAGGCCATAAGCGGCATCAGTATCTTCTTGAATGACAAGAAGAAAGGGGAGAAACTACATGCCCTCATTCAGAGCTATGTAGATCAATCCACATTTGAACTCCCCTTGCACCCCCCCTTTGTTTCCACAAAGCCTTCAGGTTCTATGGAGTGGACAAGTGTGACTTAGGGGAAGGAATACTTCCTATGGCCCTAGCCCCACTGGGGGTTTCCCCTACAGCCCAGAAGAGACAGATGGAAGATGCTAAGGCCTCATTAGCCTACAACACCTTGGTATCCACAGAAGGTAACTCACTGAGCCCCAATGACACCTTATCCCTAGGCAAGGCAAAAGGCTATGTATCCTTAGAGTGGACAGAGGCAGTATTACAAATAGTAGAAGGATACCTATGTGTACTCGCAACAATCCTGGGAGTTGAACACCCCTTAGTGTGCAGCTTCATAGGGGGGCTAGACCAACTGAGGAGGATGCAGCTCACCTTGCCCTACACCTTACTAGACAAATGCAGAGCAAAACTTCCCCAGCTATTATTGTCTACAACTTCCAAATACATGTGTGTTGCTGGTTAGAAGAGCAATGGAATGTAAGCTCCCCATGGATGTTCCCAGCTTCTCTCAAGAATTTAGAACATTTAAGATATCCACGCTACAAAACCTTTGCAAGGCCTATGATGGAGAGGGCACAATAACCAAAGCTGGAAAAGGCAACAGCATGTCTGGCAATAGCCCCAAATGCAGAGGATTGCCTCAGACCATTTCTGCAACCACATCACAAATTTGCTTGGAGAACCCTAACCGCGACAGCTGCATCACCGCAACATATGGAGAGCTGGGGGCAAAAATGAAAGGATGGAAGATATCCAAGGCTATGGGTAACATGAAGGCCAAAGGTAAAGGCCCCTGCCTCTGCAATGACAAAAAGGAGATGTGTCACTCATGGCAGGCTAAGGGGTACTGATACAAGAGCTGTAAGCTCAGCCAAAACCATAACAAAGACCCACCAGAAGATGAGACCAATTGCTTCTAGGCATGGTGTCAGGAAGCTAATGGTTTGGAATGAGAGGGGGGCAGCAGGCAGCCCACTCAGTCCCCTGCTACTGTGCCACTGCCCCCCTCAAAAGTAAGAAGGTTGGTGTTAGATACAGCAGTGCACTGGGGACTCAAACAAAGCAAATCAGGTGAAAGGTCTATACCCTTCTCCTCCCTAGAACTACTAGGTAAGAATTGTACGCGTGAGTTTGACCCTTGCCAAACAGCATAGCTGGAGCCTATTCCAGCTGCTCACCACAACCACGTAATGGAGAGGCAAGAATCTCTAGTTACAGGAGAGCTCAGTTTACATCCGCAAAGGGGCCAAACAGGGGACAAGTGCAATCCAGTGCTGGCATGCCGAGACACCCTTATATTGACTGAGGCTGGGTCTGCACCACTAGAAACAACCTGTGCACGGCTACGTCCCTGCAACCATGCATCCTTGGGGAACACAAAGAACCCAGAGAGATATCCCCCTGATCAGTTAGACAAGCAGATGCATCTAGCAGTAGAGGCCTTTGAACAGGCAGCCAGCTGGGGAGACTTTGCTAGGTCAGTCCAAAGAAGAGGAGACCTCCAGTCACCTGGGGCTTGTGAACCCCCCCATCCAGCAGTCAGCCTCTTCCATATTTTTCAACAGGAGGGGACACCAGTCATCATGTCCCTCCCCCACTGGACATCAGGACAAATAGCCACAGCCCTAGCCCTAGCCCAAGGACCACACAAGTCCTCGCATAACAGGATTGAATTCCTCTGTAAGAAGGAATATGCTGACATGATGGACAGACAGCAATGGGCAGTGCTCCCAGCTCAGCTACTGGCAAACATCCCAGGGCTCAGATTGAGCCCCTTAGGGAAGTTCTAAAAATATGTCCCCTTGCATGATTACATCCCAGGCCCAGCCAAAAGAAAGGCACCAAAGGAGATGCCATTGCCCATTCCCATAGTGGCGATCCACTCTGTTGCCCTCCTGTGACCGCTATCATACAACAATCCCTTCTCCACCATCAACCATCTCACCCATATGATGGTGCACTCAAACTAGCAAGCTACTACAACGCACACAGTCATAACATCAGTGACATCCACTATGATCACCTCCACCATGTGTTGGCATGCTGCGATACTGGAACACACCACTGGCATCTCCTCCCCTTGATTGCTCAGTGCCCAATCCCTCCACATGGGAGGAGCAATGGCACTCCTCCAAGGCAAGTGCAACTCCAACATTATTAAACTACTTGCCTGATGGCACAGTGGCACAATGATGATGAGATATCTTCACCAGCAATCTGTCCCCCTATTCTGCAATCTCACAATGGTCATGTTTAATCATGGCGCCTACAGTTTCCTTCTGGACAAATCTGTCCCTGCTGCTCTGTAGCTTTCCATTTGTTGCTGCCTTCCAATGTCTTCCCACCCATGCTCTGCTCCCCCCCGGGGCCCATGACCTAATGGCAGCTAGCACAACAGTATGTGTACTAGTAGCTAGGCCAGAGGGTTGGATCAGCAGGCTTCTCCACCACCAGGAGCCAGTGCTCCCCACTTCCTCCACCAAGAAGAGACCCCTAACCCTAGTAATTGGTTGGGCCCACCACTTGGCAAAAAGTTTGGTTTGTGCTGGTTTCCCTTAACACCTGCTTAACCCACCAACGTAGCCTATTAGTAGACCCAGAGGATCTGGGAAACCAAGAAACAARGGGCTCGTTACAGAGGCTGTTTAGCGTCAAGAAAAACAGTTTTTTCAATCCACCGTTGCTGTAAAGTACTTGTACTTCGTACTTCGTATTACTGTTCGTATTATTTAAGCGTTTTATGATTGCCCGAGGAAACTGTTGCACAGCACTTGCGATAGTGATGCAGTTTTTTTATTTAAGCACCACGCTTTTCAATAATGTATCGTACGAAGTAGAAGCAGAAGTACATTGTAATAATTGGTTTGAAAATATTTCGTTACTGTAAAACCACGGCACGAACGGTAGTAGCCTACAAAATAAAGTAGAAAACGAGTTCGTACGTACTCGAATTGGTTGCGGCCGCCGCCGTTGTTTTTTTTTTTAATCATGGCGGCGGCCAAAACAACTTACTACGATGCAAAAACTAGGTTATTGCTACTAGAATGACTTGTCACAACAATGACTGAATGTTTAAGTTAAAAATGAATAATCTATTTTTGGTGAAGGTACTAATTTATTTGCAAAAAATGGTATACCAGGGTTTATACAAATCCACACTAAAAACAAGTTTCTTTTTGTTTCCTCGGTAAGTCCAGGGCTGTAAGAATTCTTCAAAGTTACTGGCTACCGCGCACTAAACTTAGTGAAGTGCGGTGTAGTGCACCGTAGCCAATTATTTATTCGCAATTTCACACCGCACAATATCGTATTGTGCGGTATGTACGTACGTACTTGTACTGTTACAACGCTATCAACATCTCAGCAGAAATTATCTTAGCATCGTTGGCGCGCCATTTTTTGGATACTAATCTTTCGAAGGTGTTGCGGTTACAAGTAGTGGTAATGGACTAAGGATCTATCTACTGTTACGGGTACTCGTAGTTTTTTATTTTTTTATTACGGAGAAATAATAAGAGGGGGGGGAGTTCGACGATCGAAAAGATATCTTCGCCAGTCATCTGCATTCTCGTACTAGTTACTCGTACTATTTCTTCAGTACGAGTAGTCGTACTCGTACTTTCTGTTCCAAGCGCCATGCAGAATTGAACAACGTTAGTACGGTGCTAATTATCGTTAACATTCTCTATCCATCCAATCTGTTCAACACACCGTTCTTTCTATTGGCAGGGTGTTCGTAACATGTTACGGAATAGCAGCTCCTAATTTTAACAAAATCCTGGTCTCCGAATCTTCGCACCGTTATTGTGCTTTTTTGTTTTTKAATACGATCTTCCTTCCAATACCCATGCCATTTCACCTTGTCTCCAACAAAGTAGTCAGTTGTAATCTGTAACAACATTTTTGTCCACACTTTCTGCTAACAATGGGGCCCATTTTGCTGAAAGCGGTCTCGCCCGCTGGCACTTATCTTGCCGCTGATAGCAAGATATCGGAAGATGTGGAGGGTGCCGAAACTTCGACGAAAAACAAAAATAAGAAAACCCATTCATTGCATCCAGACGCTAGTGACTCTTTCCATCCTTGGGATTTCGACGAAAGCGAGATGGATCTATCATCAGAAGCTGGAATTGTTTCACACGAAGATGAAGAGGGCACCTTCATGCAGCTCGAAGAAAGAGACGGTTTGTTACCATTAAGCATGGAGAACCTTTTCGAATGCGTTCCGGATTGTCTTCTGGACCAAGAAGTACCTAGTAGGTGCTCTCCATCCTCACAAACAATGATTCAAAGTTCTTTCCCTCCATTTATATCGTCACTAGATGACCCGAAGATCAAATGCCCAAATAAAATACAACCGATCCCATATGCAATTGCATCGATAGMAGACCAAAAGAATCAGCTCGAAGCAGCCTCTCATACGCTAAGAAAAAGCATGCAAAGATCTCAAACATCGAGAAGAAGGCTATGTTCCATTTTACGTCGTATGAAGGGCTACCGACGTACCAGCAATTTCGTAAAGATCATACATACCGTTGAATTTTCGACGCATCATGTAGACTCGTTTTGCAAAGAAGCGATGACTCCATCATCACCATGCATGCCAAACTATTGTAAATCTTAAGTCAAATCGATGTATTTKTACATGTCAATKTCATGATAGTGCTCCAATAAATTGAAAATACAGCACTTTTATCGAATTATTCTAGGTGACTATAAGTTCTKTTGTTTGAATCAATGGCAAGTCTGTGAGGTMCGGTGTATTTTTTTGYACAGCAGTAGGAAARAATGATATGATTGTACTAACGATTTAATGTGAAAAGACCTGTTTGCTCTGTGTTCAAGCACAGTCCAGGGATGGGCCCCGCGTAAATTTGATCGTTGATTATGATTGCCGAATTCGATCAATCTCTACTGGTTCTTGACAAATTCATTCATCGGATTATTTGAGTTAGCGAGATGCCTTGTAAAAGAGATGAAAAGGTCCCCCATACAGGAAGAAGATATCATTCGAATCGTGAATAAAAAGGTCGCCGTTGTTACCGTCTGCAAGACTGTTGTGGTAACATTCAATTCCGAAATGCAATGAAATCGAACAGGAATTTTTCAACATCAATCTTTGCCATCATGTCAAACTCAAAGTTTGACAAATGYCCCTTTCTCTTGCTGTAGCTCGAAAGATTAATTGCTCTTCGTTCTCCTATGGTGCGAAGTGTTGCTGAATAAGGAGCGCATTCCATTCCCAAATAGTCCTCTTTCATTGCTGGCTTGTTTTTGATCAAGTTCCGAKCGCTTGTTTCGAGACTTTTCCAGCCGTYCCTTCCGGACCWTTTCCAATCGTTCCTTTCGGTCTTTTGAGTGTTGACTCAGTCCCAAAAGTGAATCCATTAATTTTCCCCTTAGTTTCGTCGTTGGTCGATCCAAWCTTGTTCCACCGCTCCCTRTTTTTTCTCCACCAAGTTTGAACATTTTGAAAAAAGAGTTTTGCAATCCTTCAACTTCTTCGGTAGCAAACGATTGACTCGAATCAGAGCCATTCTCTGACACGCATTCTAWGCACACTGCTTCCTCATTSRGCGGTGGCTCGTTCCACAAGTTCTGCTGCACGAGCCATCTCTTTCGATACGCAAGGGTCTGGTACGGGCTGGACGTATTACAGAATTTGCAGCTGCAATGGGTCGTGATGCGCTGTTGCGCTCTCGGGCGCTCCAAGCGATATCTGCGTTCCCATACTTTCTCTGCCACCTGCCGAGAAATGGATTCTCTAAGTTCCGCGTGGGTCCTGTTCGTTGCCACGGGCCTTCGAACCGGGCATCGATCCGTGGGCAACTCGACGTCATCGAGGCTCTGGTACCAGACCCGCTGCTCGACTTCGTTGGTTTCGTTGTCCGAAGACCATTTTCTTTGTTCCGAGTGCAAATACAAATCCGTCAGGTATTTGGTACGCATGTACTTGGGTTTTGATGCATCGTCGACGTCGACGTGGTCTTCCTCGATTGCGTCTCTGGTTCGTGTGACAACTTGGCCGTAATTGGTGGTAATGGTTGGCTTGAGTGCCTTGATGCCACCCAGTGCAACCGCCTCCCTAAAAATTTGAAATTGAGCCCGGGCTGGATCCCACGCCGGGAGGACCACCGTTTCAYTGCCCTTTACCCACGTTGCCGACGGCAGTTCCGCGGCCTCGTACTTTTCTATCTTTTGGCCGTAGGCTTCGATGGTGTGTTCCCTGAGCCTCGTAAACTGCCCCAGTGCGGATGCCTGCGCTATCGCCCCCAGGAACTTGATCTTGTGGTCTTCGGGCACGGTTCGGCACCTGGCCTCCAGTTTTGCTTGCAGAATCATGGCCTGGGTGGGGAGCGACACGACGCCGATTTTGGGTTCGTACGCCGGTTCTGCTTCTAGGGACTCTTCTTCTGCTTCGTGGGTGTGGGGAGATGATGACGTGGACGTGGACGTGGACGTGGACGCGGAGTTTTCGTCGTCGAAGCCAAGCCGCCGCCTGCGTTCTTCTTCGTCGATGTGCTTAATGTTTTCGGAAAAAACGAGTTGCAACCCATCCAGTTCTGGATCCACATCCAGTGACTCCTCTTCCTTTCTSTTGCAGTAATCGGCGAAGAATTCTGACTCGTCTTCGAAGAAATCGACGCTGTCGTCGCTCTTGGCGTCATTGTAGTTTCTCTTCCTACTTCGTGCGCCGGAAATTAGGCTGGTAATCCGCGAGGGTTTCGACCAAGGAAGCGGGTAAAAACTGGGTTTAGAGAGATGGGTTTGGCTTGGATGCCGGGGGAGGCCTCTCTGGACCAATTCTATTTCTTGCTTGCGAACGGAAAAAGGTACCGAGGTGTGCTTCCTCGATGTCTTTTTTCTATAGTTCTTTTTCCTTGCTGCCACCACCCCGTCTTCGAGGTCTGCCCGAACAAACCGTCGTTTTTGGCAAGCGGAAAGGTTCGTGAATCCGCGGACAAAATCGAGGTAGCGGCGGCGCTTACTCCCGGTGTCGTTCGGGTGGTAGCTACCRATGAGCTGAAAGAAGCAATCGTCGTCCACCAGCTTCAGGGAGGGCTCCCTCGGCAAATCCACGCCATCCCAGTTGGTTCGACAGTAGTATGTTGTTTCTAATGTTGTTGTTGTTGTTGGCTTGGTCGACGCCGTCGAAACAGATCGATCGGGACRGCGGTCGAAAACAGCATTCTTCGATGATACCGTTCCGGATGCCATGGGAAATTGTTGTCRACAATACCCCTTGCTATTTTGCGAGGGTCTAGGGAGAAGCGCGAGGTAGTACTGTAGGTGTGGGGTGTTGGTGTTGTACTTTCAGTATTACGAAGCATTTTTGTTCGAATAATCGTACAGTACTTTACAGTGATCTTCATCAAATCTCGATCCCGAAGGTGTCGGGTGTTCGGAACGTACTAGTACCCGTACGTACAGAACTACGAGTACTACATTGACAAGAGAAGAAGAATCTAGGCACGATTAAAAAATGCGCGCCTTGAATCGCTTCGGGAAATCATCGTKAGAATGGCTGTAAGAGTACGAGTATCGTACCGTTGCAGTGCGAATCACTTCTCAGGGCTTACGTTAAATTTATAAGCCCTGTGTACAGTTCGTACTCGACAAAGTACGTACGTGCTCGTCTGAGAATAAATGACGAATAGATAGTACATACCGTACCGTATAAGTACGTACTGTAGGTAGATAGTGAGTAAACTTACTCTCCGTTGTATATCGTACCGTACTTTAGTACGTACTGTAYGTACCATATGTTAAAGTACTGTACATCGAACTGAATGCGGAATACAGAATACGGAATTTCAAACATCAATAGCAATATTCGGTTAGGCCGTACGATAAGGGGGACGCCAAGATTTCAGCCGCATCATGCCGGACGACGACATACGGTGCAGGTATCGAATGCCAACATGATAATAGTACTTGGTACGACTTACCGTGCTGCGATACAGCTCATCGCGACAGTTGCTATCAATCATACCGTACCGTGCGGAAGCAACAATCCTTGGAGCGAGACAGAGGAGGGGAAGACAAAAGSAGACCAACTGGAGGCAAACAGCGCGGTACCGTGCTTCCAGTTCATTACAGCATTACACCGTGTTAAATCGAATCCAACCGAAGCAGAGCCGTTCCCAKAGAACGCTAGCTAGCACACACATCCATCAAAGATTTCATAAACATTTGACAGCCGAGCAAGTCGATTGAGCATTYATTCATAGCAACGAAACAGACATGACTTTMTCTTCCGTTCGGACCGTCTTGCAAAGCAATGGAAGGAAGTGCTTGAAGTTTTCAAATGGTTTGATACGAACGATACCTCCCAGAGCAAGGGGTACGCCGCGGCGATCCTTGTCCACAACCGCAAGGCAAAACACTAGCAGCGACAAAGAGCCACAGCAGCCAGYACAGCCCCCGGAACGTCCCCAAAGAATCATTCCGACTCGGCACTCTTCYAGGGCACCGCCCCCCGTGTGCCGCGATGCCACCGAGCTCGGAGAACTCACGCAGGAGCTATTGGAAACCCCCATTGGATCCTTGTTTTGCCAGGGCACTRGCGGCGCGAAAACAACACCTTCACCGAAGGACGACCGCGACGAGGCGTACGCCGTGGCCAGGGAATCKGGCGAGCTGGTGGAATACCTGCTCAGGGGCTATAACCGCGCGATTTCTCCCCTGACCCTCTGCGGTAGCAACGAGAGTCCCGCTGYCGGCACGGATCCGGAGGAGGTATCCGTCTCGCTAGAAGCAATGATGGACGTGATGGAGCGCTTTCATCAGGAAGGAGAGATGTACATGCAATTGCGGAAGGAAGCCCTTGGTTTCATTAACTCCGCCAACTCTAGTGATAGCAGCAGCAGCAGCAGTAGTAGCAGCAGCAGTGATTCCGACAGTGAACACGACGGCGACTTTTTGGACGATCTGAACAAAAACAGCRACAACGATCCAAGATTTTCTTCCGCTGTTGAGGACAAACTCAAGGTCGACGCTCAGGCCAAGCGGCAACAGCAAGTGGGGAGCGGGGCCGATGATTTTGCGATGCCCGGCGTCACAACAGCTATGTACGAYACCATTTTGGATGCCATGGCGTGCGCTACACAGGTCTCGCTCGAATCCCAGCCACCCACTGCTGCTGCATCAGAATCACCCTCCTATCTGCAACTTCTGGAACCGGACGATTTGTACCGTGTCGCCGGAGCGGCATGGAAGGCCCACGAACTGAACAATCTGCACGATRCAGGCTCGTTCTTTCCAGCGACAACACCTACCATGGTCACCTACAACGCAACGCTCAGGGGTATCGGAAACCTCTGCCTGGCGGCTTYCAGCGGCAGCGATGATGAACGACGACGTGTGGTGGTGGATCAGGGCCTCGCCTATGGCTTTCAGGTCTATAATCAGCTCACCCACAATGATCACGGTKTGCCGAAACGGAACTCGGCCTCCATCATTTACCTGCTGAACGTCATCAAGGCCTGCATTCCACCGAGCCGAACCCGGGGAAACATGACCGTGGCGCTGTGGCACCAAGCCAGCATGGAGGGCCTGGTCACCCCCGAACTGATTCGAACACTGAAAGACCTCCACAACGAAACCAACGGACTGGAGTTTGATGCCTTTTTGGAATCCCTCGACGAATGCATAGCCCAACCGAGCGGGAGCAGCGGCGTAGTCATTACCCCGCAGCGGTTTGCCCGGTTCACAAAGAAAYACAGACATTCAAAATTTTATTGATGGGAACAAGCGCGCGGGGGAACAAACCCAACCATTAGTTCTCTCATCTACRAACGAAAGGAAAATTGAAACGGCATGGCAAAAGTTCGACACAGTGTATGCAYTTATGCAAGAGGATACGGTGCTAACACGCCAAGACAAAAATAATAGAAAAACAGGATAATAATATAAATCATACTAACAAACTCGCGTTGAATTGTGTCAAAATTGTAACCCAAAGCAAAATGCAAAGGTTCTTTTCGTTGATCGTGTGCCCATCTGATTCTRCTAGCAAATGTGSGGCGAAACTATTWGAGAACAATYAAATTTTATTCTTGAAAAAGGATACCACACAGTCAGAATATTTTGGTGCTTCCTTTTTTTGCAYACAGGATTTGCTGACAGTGATCTGCAATCGAAAAAAATAGTGGTGCCAGAAGTCATGTGATCAATACTGCCTAGTATCTTGAGTTTCCAGTAAGCATAATATTATTTTCTGATAAAAATTAGTAAAATACTATGACGCTCCTGCCATTACAGTATTTAAGGAAATCAATGACAACAACGTCTACTACTAGTGATTTAAGGCATACTAGTAGTAGTAGTACTAGCTAGTACTACTAGCTAGCGCTCTTCAAATCCATCCAAAAAGTTTTTCTTCATCAAAACTTGAGTGAAAAATTAATCTCTGAATCATTTTTTCTTCGACTTTTACTGCTACGAGTATTAGCTACTAGCTACTACTGTACGTCACAGTAGTAGTAATAGTACGTATCTTTTATCGGCAGTATTCATAATCATCATCATCGTCTGTAAGGAACTTATCTAGCTCTTACTGAATCATTGATACCAGCAGCAGTAATTTTGAATTTTGAAATAAAAGAGGTAATCGGAAAATCTAGAAAAAATTCATCATTCCGAAGAGATCGTCGTCAGTCACGAATCACCATCGTCGTCATCCGAAGGAAAACAGAGTGTCCTAGGAATTCTGCAGCTTTACGCAACGCGGCAGCCGAGACGAAAAGACAACAAGCACGGTAGATCACAACAACTACTAATACGTTGGCGTTCCCGCAGGCGTAGCTTGAACGACACTGTTGAAAATATGATAATACCAACGTCCTCTCNCAATACGGTTGAAAAAACAGTAGTACAGTGTAGCCGTACACGGGTATTTAGGGGGTAGGCCTATTCAGTAGTGTTTTTTGGTTGCATGGAGGCAATAATGATAATGCAATTTTAGTTGCATTTTACGTATACAGTATTGGTATTTTGCAACTAAAATTGCATTATCGTAATTGCCCCCATGCAACGCAAAAACAATACTGAATAGCCCTACCCCATATATTTCTATGTACGGAGACCAATATTCCTCTTTTTTAAACAGTATACTATAATTTGTGTGTAAATTAACTAACAAAAACAGTATTGCTTTTTTTCTTACTGGTAGGATTCACCAGCGTTTTTTGTTGCATTTTCGACCGTTGAACGGACGTAGAGCGTGCAATAATACAACCAATGTGGTTGCTCCTCTTCATTCACACGAAAACTTGACTGCTGCAGCAAAGCACAATAAAGAACTGCAGCAGCAATAACAAAGAACAGCAAGCAAGATGACACCCCCACCACAACAACCAGCGGCCGTCCCAAACTTGTATCGCATTGCACTTGACGTACGTGAGGAGGAAGAAGCAGCGCATTGTTGTGAGGAGGAAGAAGCAGCGCATCGTCGACAGCAGCAGCAGCAGCAACAACAACAACAACACGGACGCGTTACTACTAGCAGTACTACTACTAGTAGTCAAGGAGGACGCGGACGCGGAGGACGTGGACGTGGACGCGTTGCTGCTAGTAGTGGACAACCGCCAGCAGCAGCACTCCCCCCCCCCAAACAATTCACGCGAGGAACAAGCAACAGGAGAGGAGGCTCGTCAGCAAGAACAAGGAGAACAACGCGGACGCGTTAGTAGTGGAGGACAGGGACGCGGAGGACGCGGACGCGTTGCTGCTACTAGTGGAGAAGGACACATACGTGGACGCGGAGGATGTGTTGCTGCTAGTGCTAGTATGGTAGCAGGAAGCAGACGCGTTGTTCCTCCTACTAGACGTAGAGGCGCTAGTAGTAGTACTGCAGAGGAGGATGCGGAGGGTCAAGCTGCTGCCTTGGAGGAACTCATCAGAGTAATGGATGCTGAAGAAGAGAATGACGAGGACAAGGATCCTTACTTTGCTGCTGGTGGTGCTGATATTCTTGGTGATGAAGACTTTCTTGCTGAGGATGATGTTCCTGGTGCTAATGATGGAGATGAGAGTGTTGATAGCCAAGCAACAACAGCAAGGCCA